GGTGGAAATAGCTTTATTTTAAAGCTAGCCTCTTAAATATGTACTACGTGCAGGGTTGAATGATTTTGACCATTAAGGTTCTCAAATTATTTCTCACATCATTATTCATGACAAATTAGTAAGACATTTCAATCTTCACCCATTATAGGCTATCAACAAAAATGATTCAATTAGAGTGAAAGTATTTCGCTAGCCATTGTAGAGATTATTATTTCATGAGAGCATAGTTACTTTACTCCCTCTAAAAAGGGATGAAACTAGGATATAAAGCTCATGTAATGCAAGTAAATGTATGTGTGATGCAACATGTACATTTGTTAACCCAAAATTTCCCCAAATCAAGTAAAGACGAAAACAAAGGAAAATGTTAGTAAACAAATAAAATAATCATTACAATTTAAGATGTTTAAACCAATAAATATAATCAATTTAAAATTTTATGGCTTGACTCTTTATTAAATCTCCCTAATGGAGTCACCAAACTGTCATAATGTATATGTCTACAAACCTATCACTAAACATAATTTTAAGAGTCGTCACCAGTCTTTTGTTAAGGTGTAATTGACAACTTAGTGAATCTATCTTTTTTACTTATCCTAAACTTGACCTAGGCTCTTAAAAGAATAAATTCTGATATGTGTTTTAGTATTAAGTTTGAGAGTTTGGTTACATGTGAAAAATGTTATAGCACTCCTACACGCCCGTCCAAAAGATGGTATCATTTAATTTCAAATTATCTTAAAGAGCTTGGTTCTAATGGTCTTATATTAAAATTTGATGTTTAGGTATCAAAAATAACTTTAAGAGTTCTCTATCAATTTGATAGAATTTTTAAAAATACTTACTCATTTCAAAAGTATTCAATATTTTTATTTTTTCTTGAAGAGGTTTCGTTGTTGAAAAAAAGACTTAAATCATTTATTTTTTTAAAATCTTGCTTCATAAAAAAATATATCTAAATCTTCCCCATTTGGGCCAAATTTATTAATACTTTCTAACCTAAAAATTCCTTAGAAAATCATTTATTTGTGATTACTAAAAATTTCATCATCAGACTTATTTTTTATTTTGTAAGTTTTATTTCTAAATTTTTTTATTGTATTAAAAATATATATAAAATTTTCATTATTTGGGCCAAATCTAGAAATTTTTTTTACCTAGAAATATCCTAAAAAATTATCCATTTGCAATTTTAAAGATTATTATTATAAAGTTTCATCCATTATTTACTTCCTAATTTTTAGAATGAAAATAAATGCCAATTATTTTTTGAAATTTTATCTAAACTCTTCCACCATTTGGAAGGAATTTAGAAAATATTTTTACCTAAAAATCTCCTAGAAAGTCAACCATTTGTGATTTTCTTGAGATTTCATCTCATTTTCATATATTTCGAAACAAAATTATAAGTTATATTTTTTTATTTGATTTGAAAATGAATGCAATCACATTTATTAAAATTTCGTCTAAATTATTTCACCATTTGACCTAAATTTAGAGAAAATCATCACCTATAAATTTTTTAGAAACTTGACCATTTAAAACTTTTAAGAATCTCATCATTGAATAATTGTGAACTCATTCCCAAAATTTTATAAAGTTTATTTTTATATTTTTTTACTTTGAAAATAAATATTAATTATTATTATTGAAACTTTATCTAAATTTGTCTTCCATTTAGGTCAAATTTAGAAAAAATCTCTTACCTAAAAATTTCTTAAAAACTTATTCATTTGTAATTTTAAAGAATTTCATCTTTGGATAATTATGATTTATTTTCCAACTTTTATTAAAGTTTTATTTTAACCTTTATTTATATAATTTTTTTTATAATTTATAGTAATTTCCCCTAATAATAATTTTTCCTAAAAAAATTTAATGAAGCAAAATATGTCAAAATAAATAAAATAAAAACCATAAAACAATTAAAAATATAAAATAAAATGAATGAAAAAAAAAATGAAAACCTATGATATAAGTCGGGTTGAAAGTAGGTTGGCGCAAGGATCTTAGTGAGTCAATGCACGAATCTTGAAAACTTTTTTAAGGCAAAATAGCATTGTTTGGGGGCTATATAAATAGCCCAAAATCATATTTTCCTCAATTTTTCTTGTCTCATTTCTTTCTTTTCACCACTTCTCTCTTCTTCTCTTTAGAAATCTAACACCAGTGATGGCAAAGTTGAGTGTGTTTTGGAAATTGTCACAGGTAAATTTAAAAAGCCGTTAGAAAATTCAAATGTCATTATAAAAGTAGCCAAAAATTGTAAATTTCACCAAAATTCATAGAAAAATTCAAAGTTTCATAAAAGAATTTTAGGTTTTTTTTTTTCAAAAATTTTTTAAAAAGAAGAGGTCAGAAATTCAACTTAAATCTTTTAGACCTTGGATATTTCGATAACACTAATTTCCTCACAATTGAACTAAATCAAACCCCAAAGAAACAATAAAATTCCAAAAAAAAAAAAAACTCTTCTAATAAAAGCCTATAGCCAAACTATTTATTTTTCTTGCTCTTTCTCTCTATTAATTCTACTTGTCTATTGTGTTGAATTATTAGTGCTTATATAGGCAATTAGTCCCAGCTCATTTAGAATTCCAAATCAAAACAAATGGTTGATTTTAAAAATTATCTTATCCTTTATCCTTAAAAGATTCAGCCTATCTTCGCACAAAAGTCATTTTCAAAATTCATCCAATTCCCTTGTCTTTATTTCGGATTTTCAAAATGTATCATTTATCACTTTCTTTATCTTTTCTCAATTAAAAAAAATTCAAAAAAGATAAATCAAATGAAAAAAAATAAAATTCATTAAAAAAAGAAGTTGGATTTGGTTTAGAACCTATACGCAACCCAATAATCAACAAGGGCCAATCTTAACCCAATAATCCAATAAGACCACAATGTTATGCCCCATAATGAATTACCAACTTTAACTTAGATAGTCAACTGTAAGCCTAAGAAGATAAATAAATAAATAAATAAATAAGAACAAAATTTGAAATTTATAAATGATCTTGGACTAAATAGATTGTCTTCAGCGTGCATGAGCATTACATATCATGAATTTTAAATGAATAACAGCACTGTAGTAAAAAGTTTAAATCTTTTGATTTTATTATTGTTCTGTTGGCAATTGTGTAAAATAAAAAATAAGTTAGATGTAAATTTACATGGTGAGAAAATATTAATACATGTATTAACAAAATTGTATTTTTAAACATGCCAAATAATGAACATTATGTATTCCTTTTTTATCACAAAGTTGTATACTATATTACATTATGCAATTTAAACTTGAGGACTTTCAAATTTTATATTTTAGTGTAACTATTTGCTAATGAGACATTAGATAAACTTCAAAAATGATAATTGCATCTAATTATACTTTTTATATTTTAAAGACCTAAGATGCTTATCAATGTAATTAATTTTTTAATTCTTTGCAAGAAAATATTAGTGTTATGTATGCTGTTGGATATGAATTTATAGTTTGACAATTATTAATATTTAGGTATGTCGAAACCATCCATTTCAATAGGCTCTAATTCGTCCAAATTCGATAGAGATAGTATTTTTTTAAAAAAAATCGAGATTATAGTTTTTTTTTTTTAAAAATCGAGATCAGGTTAAAGATGGCTTATAGGGTACTCTACCTCGATTCTTCTCGAGATATATATAAAATATATATTTTATTATTTAATTAATTATATATATGTATATATTAATAGAATTAATATTTAATATATTATTTAATAAAAATAGTATATTTTTATATTATTAAGATATAATTTATATTATCGGGAGTTATACATACATATGTCGTGTCAGAATTGAATGTAAAAATAATAATTAGATGTAGGATCAAATCAAAATTGGGTATATCTTTTAAAAATCAAATTAGATTTGGATGAAAAAAATTCGTCTCAACCGGATCCATTACCATCCCTATCAATATTTGGGAATCATATTCTCTAAATAATTTAAACTTTATTACATTTATTACAGTGCATCAACTCAAATATTTCTTAATGTAAAATTAGCAAAACTATGTACTCTTATATGTTCACCTGAAATTGTTTTTTTAGAATTTTTTTTAAACATAGATTATTTTAAAATGAAAATATGTCTTAATTTGGATTTAAAATAAATTTAAAAAATTAGTAAAAACTAAGAACTTAGAGGAAAAATCAATATTATAATAATTATATATGATTTAATTAAAAGCATAGGCTAATGGTGGTTATTTGATTCAAAGAACAAATATAGTTTAATCTTAAACATCCAAAAATTGTTCAACATTTAAACTATGAATCATGTCATGAAACATTAATACTTTAATTGAAATTTATTAAGGTTATGGATAGCTACAAAATGTTAAAATTGATCACAAGAAGGGTTTATACATGATGTATTTATGAAAATGAAATGAAAAAAGCAATTATTTAATGTTAAGAAAACATAATAATAAAGGATTATAATTAAATTAGTGGAGATACAAGAGATATACATGATTTATAATAATTTTAGAAAAATTTGGTCTTCTATCTTTTTAAATTTTGATAAATTATAAAATTTTAGTTATTTTCAAATATAAATTATAAATATTCGACTTTTTTATTTGAATTTGAATAAAAATAAATTTAATATATTTTTTACATGTCTCGAAAAGACTATCCACATAAATATTTGTGTTAGAACATTTAATTTGATAACTTTATGTTTTGTAATATAATATATATGAAAAATACTTTTAAAAAATTTTGAAAATTGAAAGAAGTAATTTTAAATATATATTTTATAAAATTTAATTATTTAAAAATAAAAAATAATAGACATCAAAGATAAAACGTATTAATTGAAAAAAATAAACTTTGACAATTAAGAATATTTTTTTTGTACATAAGAAATTATAATCTGAGAACAACAATTAGGAATATGGGTATTCGGCCTATGTTTATAATTTGGCCTCAATGAAAGCCCAAGAACCCAAATTCTATACGACACTAAAAAAAAAAAAAAAAAAAAGAAAAAAGGAGTTCGCCTCCTTGCCTAACAAATTTCGTCAGCCAAACTTTTTTTTTCTCAGTGGAAGTCTTGAGAGTTTATTAAAAGCAGAATCGAAAAGAGGAAGTCGAATTTGAAGCAATGAGTTATAGAAGGTTTGTTTTTGATGAAATTTGTTTGCCGCTACCTGTTTTTTTTTTATTATTATTTAGATTTAGGCATCAATATGATTTCACAAGAATCAATTATTCGGTTAAATTTTTGTTGGATTTTCCCTCGCATTTTGTTCGAATTAACGCTTTGCCTCGAATCTGTTAGAATTTGCTCATTACTTGGAGTATTTTAAGCATTAAATTGATGGATTGTTCTAAAAATGTTGGAACTTGATGAAATTAGTAGCAGAAATTATCTCCTTTTTATTTTTTTTTCAAGGCTTTTCAGATTCAGCTTTGCTTTTGATTTGTTGCTTGTTTGATCTCTTAGGTTTTAGGGTTTTTGACATGTCCTAGAAGAATAGTCCTCTCTTTATCATTAAATTAAAAACCGATTAGTTTAGTTGATTCGTCAATATTCCATATGATGATTCTCTGCTTAAATTGTTTATCTTGCTGGTATTTTCCTTCAGCAGCATTGTCGTTCTTTATTTCGAGTACTTGCTGCATTAATTTTGCACTGGCTATGAATATTCATGGTTGATTTGCCCCCAGTAGCTAACTTTTGATGTTTTACTTTAGAAGTTCATCTTTAAAATGTTGGGTTTCAATAACTTTGATTGCAATGATAGGGGTTGAGACTTCTTGTATAACTTCCTGATCTATTTGTAGATGTTTTTACTCCCAATTGTGAATGGACCTGATAATTGCTGCTTCTCTTTTTCTAATTGTAGACTCATATTTTTATCTTTTGTTTAGTAACATGGGTATGAATTTTGATGCTTGGAAAAGCCCATCATCTTTTGTGTTTTTGCAACAATGTTGACCACTTCATTTGTTGAACTAGGAAAAGTTAGTAGTAGTACTGTATGGTCATATTTTATATGTGATATATTCAACTTTGCATATTCTCTTACCCTATTTTTCTTTGTTGTTAAAAATCCCTTTGCCAAGTTTTTGTGGTCCATTCAGTATGATCCTTTTATTCGTTGTATTGATTTTTCTTTTCTAAATTATGGCATGATCACTTATTGTGTAGGGATCACCGCTCTTCAAAATCAGCTCTATTTGATGGCGTTGATAAGCTTGAAGAAGGTGGTCTTAGGGCCTCTTCATCTTTCTCTCACGAAATTAAGGAGCATGACAATGACAAAACTGTAGACAGCTTGCAAGATAGAGTTGCTTTTCTGAAAAGAGTAAGTTCTGTCAAAGAAGATTTACCTTGCAGTTTTATTGATTATTTGCAACTTGTTAAATGTTAAATGTCTATCTAAACCTTTGTATATTTTTCAAGTCCAGGTGAACTTACCATGATCTTGTGGACAATGTTATCTGCTTGAACTTTATAGGGTTGGCATTTAGGACATGTTGGACTGGGAGTTCCCCTATATAGCATGCATCAACACGGACACATGCACACACACACGCACACACGCACGCACGCATGCATGCACACATAAAAACTAAATAAAATTAAATTTAAAAATAATTCTAAGCTAGTATAAAAAAGCCCTCCTTTTGGTTAGTTTCTCAGAAAGCTCAAGCAGATTTGTTCAGGAAATCTTTAGTGTACATTGGCTGTTATTTTATGGGGTATTATATATGTTGGAGCATATGTAGATGCTCAAGCATCGAAATGCCAGGGTCAGCTACAGCGATGCATCTATCAGATAAACGCTATGTGAAATAGTCAACAGAATGGCAACTTTCCACTTGAACTGCCTTTTCACCCTTCTTCATTTCTCCAAGTCACCTTGAGAAACCCTAAGCACCGGGGAAGTACTGGGATAAGTGCTTGAGGGGGACATTAAGATGTTGAATTTCAAGTACATATAATGAGCCGCTCAATGTCAATATGCATTGGTTTTTTACTTCTTTGCCGCCCATACTAGTTTTATGATTGCATATTTCTGTATAAAGTCTTCTATTTGTTCATGTATTTATGGACCCGTGTGAGTGTGCACGAAGTCTTGTGCACCTTTATGTACACAATAGAATTATTTCTGCTGTGGGGAATTGTATTAGTTTTTCTTCTCTAAAAACAAAGCAGATGGAGTAAAATGCCCTGAAATTTAATGGTTTATACTCTTTTAGCCAACATTTGATATATATGAGTTCTTTATAGTTAACAGGTGATATACATGATGAGGTGGAGAGCCATAATCGTTTGCTTGACCGGATGGTATGTAGGTTGCAGTTGTTATGCCTCAAACTTAAACTTTTGTGAATACAATCTAGTTTCTTGTTTTTAATGGATTTTTGTTGTAAATCAGGGCAATGGCATGGATGTTACGAGGGGTATAATGTCAGGCACCATGGATCGGTTCAAGAAGGTATCTAAACAAGATCTGCTCCACTGTTTTAGCTTCATGTTTGTTTAAATTTAATTTCTGTTGCTGATAAAAAATGGTTCTATATGATGGATGCTACTCTCTAGGTTTTTGAGAAGAAGTCCAATCGGAGAATGTGTACACTGGTGGTGGGCTTTGTGGTTTCCTTCTTAATTGTATACTACCTCATTAGGTAAATAGCATTATTAGTTCATTACTGTTGATTGCAAATCCTAATTCTCTGTGCTATAACAGAGGTTTTCTTTTATCTCTTTAGTTTTATCTGCATTGAAGATGTTTATCTTAAAAGATTTTGAGGTACTAAAGTTGATTGCATGATTGGTTGAACATACTTGTCTCTAATTATAGTTAGTTGGTAATGAATTTCATAAGTTGTAATGTTTCTATTTCTAGTGATTGAAGGCATTTTTTGAATGTTGTAAGATCTAAACAATTTTCACCTGAAATGATATCATCCACTCCATAAACTTCTTGCAACATTATTGCCTAATTAATTATGACCAGATATGTACCAAAACAAGATTCATGAATCTGCACAAAATCACTAAGAGCACTAGTTTTTCTTCTTGCTTTGAACTAGATTGTGGATCCCTTTTTCTAACTGCGCTAACTGAAGAGAGCTTAAGACAATTGAGGGCCTAACCACTTTCTTTTCTGATAATTCTGCAAGTGTTGTGCTAAATACATGCAAGGGTAAAGACGAGTAGAGGACCCTGTCTAAAATTTTGTACTGTTATACTACATGGAATAAGATTTGCTGCATACATGTGTTCATACAAGAAATGAGGAATAAAAAACAAACAAGACATGGCGCAATTGAGCATTTCTTGAATGAATCTATGCTATTGCTGATAGTTTTCTGTGTGCAGGACGCTTAGATATATCCGTGGTTGAAGAAACTACAAAATTCTTGAAGTTGTTCCATATGCAGAAGTGAATGTCAAGTCAAGGCACCAAAATCCATTTTTTTTTCTTGAGAACCTGGTACTGCTTGCATGCCGTTTGCTGGCATGGCTGCCCATTGTAAGAAGAAATGCCAAATTGCTGTTCCACGAATTTAAGGCTGGTGGGCCACATTTGAATGCTGTAATCTAGATTTAAGCCAGCAGTTTTTTGAGCAAAGAAAGAAGCGAAAAATGTGAAAGAAACAGAGAAAAATAAAGGACTGGAATTTAGATAATAGTGTTTTGTAGTTAACTGTAAGCACATGTTGACGATGTCACATCAAAGCCTATTAGCTTCTTGAAATATTTTATGGAAATTTTCTTTCTAAAACCAACTTGTTTCACCAGTTCTTGTTGACATTTGAGCGTCAAATCCTGTTTGCCGATCCAATTGCTTGCATAATGACAAAATGGAGTAGCGTGGACGATCTGTTACCTTTAAAATATTACTAATAATAATCTCATATTAAATTTTAATTTATTTTAAGATTTCATGGGCAGAATTAAAGAATTGTTAGATTTCATTATCCAAATTTGAGAGTTGTCAGTAGAGGGCGAAATGAACTCGAACTAACTTACACCAAAAAGTTTGATTCTGATTTTTTAAAGATTTGATTTCAAGAAAACTCTGAATGAAAAAAAATTTTGAATTTGAAATTATATGAACTCAAAAAAAAAAAAAAAAACTCAAAATCATAATCAACCTAGCTTCGAAAATGCATGCAAAAATAATTGTATTTTTCTTAAAATCTAGAAAGTATCCAATTAATCCAAATTTGAGATTAATTCAAACTTGAAACTATTTAAATTTAAATTCGCCTAAAAATGATTACTAACTCTTGTTATATATATATATATGTATATATATATATGTAAGTAGTTTTTTAACGGGAGGATATAATTTACAATAATTATACTTTAATTAATTAATTAAAATATAAAATTTATCAAAATATTATGTAAAATTGGCATTTAACAGTGATCTACCCAACATAAAATTTTTTTTCATTTTTTTTTCCTCAACCAATTTCATTTGTTCTACCTGTGCTTTTCACCCATCTTCCTTCTTTCTAAACAATAAAATACAATAACATTAAAAATGGTACCGAGGTGCCATGGGCTAATCTAATGTGGTCCCAAATAGAAATTTATTGCCTAAATAGTAAGGAAGGCCAATTTTTTATAATTGATTATGATCTATGTGCTTTGGTTTGTACAATATAATTTTCGACATCACTGCGCACATACATCCCCCTAATTTTGATATTGTGGTATTCAATAAAATAGATTAAACTAAAAAACAGTGGAATCCAAATATGTTTGATAATTTATTTAAAAGTTGTTTTATTAATGTGTTAGAATTTCATTAAAAATTATTTTAATTGTTTTTTAAATTTGGGTAATGCTTTTGAAAAGTTAAAATTTGCAAATTTTAAACTTTTGCCATCATTTTTTAATGTGGCTTCTTTCAAGATTTACGAAGACATGATAAGTGTACCTTTTGCAATTTTTAAATTTATTAGTGAGCAATAGATAAATGCCGTACGTATTTTTAAAATAAAACACCGAAATATAATTATCAAGAACTCAATGATTAAAGTCAAACCTCATTTATGCTTTCAAGCAAAAAAACTATTTTTTATAGAATAGGAAATCATATTTCAATATTCTGATCTACCAACTTAGATGTTCATGGATTAAGTTAGTTCGATTATTCCTCCAAAAATTTGTTCAAATTTGATCCAGAATGCCTGTTAAAATCTATTTAGACTTATTATTATTATTAAAATATTTAAATTAAAATTAAAGAAAAATAATTTTTCAATGATATAATAATTTCACAGAATAAATCCGACCTTGAAAAACCTCTTTCAAAACTTAGTCATAGTTTCAAAATGAGTCAGACTCATGGACAGGTCTAAGCATAAAAAACGAAACCAAAATTAGATTCTAAATGCTGGTTTCTGGATAGAAAAATATAGTCATGCTCATGAACATAGAACTTGAGCAAAGTAATTGTGGATCAACTTTGAATGTCATATAGATTATGTTGACAAAAAAAAAAAGATAATTGTCTGATCTCCTTTTGGGGTGAAAAAAGAAAGTTTAATTGTAGCTAGTTGGTGACGAGGACCAATTAAAAGATGCATAATTTCTTCAACAACAATCTTGAAAAACAAAGGCTTCAATGATAATTAGACAAATGTTCAAGTCACTGAATTTTATTTATCAATGGCAAAGATGTTGCAGTTTGTCCAATCAAACTCACCCTATGTTCTTGTAAGAAAGGCAAAGCCACACGCGTTGGATGCTAGCTCCACCATTGTTTTTGATGTTGACTCTCCCATATTTGTTGCACTTTATTGGATTTCACTTTGTCATCAAACCAACATTTCTATGGAGAAATCTCTTTTATGATCTCTTATCATTCTAGCTTTGACTACGTTTTATATTATAGCTTAGATTAAATGGTCTGAAAATCTTTAAAGATTGTATTAAGGTTTATATATATATATATATATATATATATATATATATATATATATACATACAGCTTCCAAAAGTTTGCTTTGATCAACGACTAGAGAATTAATTAAGACAACAGTTAATAATATAATTGGAGGCTAGTTAGAATTAAATTTAACTGAAAATTAATTTGATTTTGTCAACAATTGCATGATCTCTTAATAAAATGATGGATTTTTAGTTCCAATGATTAAAGTTTAAATTCCGACAATTTCAAATGCAAAAAAAAAAAAAAAAACACTTAATTTTGATGATTATTGGATCGTTGGATATGGGGAGCATTAAAATCATAATCTCAATTAAGAATATTGGTGTAGGCAATTTATATGGGTTACTCCAATAGTTAACAAAGGAATCTAGCTTCTTTAATGGCTTACAACCCTACACTATTAGCTAGACTCAAGTTCAAGCTACTCCTCTAGTTAAGTGGGTTTTTTCTTCAACGAATTTATTTGATTTGATTTGGTTGATTTTTCTCTTAAATTAACTTACTAAAACATATCAAATATGCGATGTTCTATTGATTTGGTTGTATGTATAGTTTCTACTTCCTTTTCTTGGTTAAAAGGAAACATAAATATGTCTAAAAGTTACTGGATCCCAAGGTCATGTTTCACATTTATAAAAAACCGAAGTGGTGAAAATTTCATATACATAGGTGTTAATATATGGACATGAATCATTCATAAACTTAAATAAGGAAAGAAATTAATTTTCTTGTCAATCAAAGTTTGATTTTTGTGAGAAACACTCTGGAAGTAAAATCTTCAATGCACTAAGTTGATATAAAGGAATGCACATTTAAAATTGCTCAGGGAAGTAATTAAGTCCAGAAAATTTCCCTAACCATATTAAAACCAACCACTTAAAGAAATCCAATGGATGATGACAATGAAAAAAAGTCAAAAGAAAGACTGAATTTTATAGCAACTGTGGATGCACAAGTGGTGATGACTGTATATGGGACTGGATTAGTAGATTGCATATATATTGTTGCCAAAGCTAATTAATGGGGACTTTAATCAAGTTGCCAGGTAGGTGCAAAATCACGTACACCTTGGCCCAATTTGCATTAATCATATGCAGAGGAGGGTATACAAATTTCAATGTTCTCTTTGCAATTCCTAATTTCAACTGCTTACTCGGTAAAGTCCCTATTAAAATATTGAAAGAGCACTCCTTAACTTTTATTTTGGGATATGTATAGCCTTTTAATTACTTTAGCAAACTGAAATTTATTTTTTTAATGAATATTTACTCTTTAATTTTAACCATATAGTACGTATTAATATGTTATACAGTAAATTTTATACATGCTATAAATTATGTCTTCTCCGTTAAGGTTGTCAAATATTGAATTTTGATTATTGAAATTAAGAATTCAGCATTTTTCGGTAGACTATATGACTGTTGACACTTTCTCCATTATATTCATAATTCTCCCCTTTCAAAATTTTTTTCCTTCAATGAAAGTCCTTCTTATAGTAGCATACATACTACTTATATGGTCTTCCATCCTAAGTGTTCTTCCAAAATCAATTTATGAAATTTTAGGATACGCAACTTTCATGACATGGCTACTTTGATGGTGATTATAATCACCCATTACTATGTCTATTTCGCAACATTACCTAATGCTCGGCCATCATAGTTGCAAACAAATCCAACAGCTATTGAAAAATAAGCTGCTAACGTTCAAAATTGTTGTAGTGACTAACTATAATGCATACATAGGTAATTTTCCAGTGGATTTGCACAATACAATTGAATTGAAGTTTTTAGTTGGTTATATCATCCTAAAATTCATATAGAGAATGGCAGCATGCCTCTTGCTACAAATGAAGATCATCGATAACTGAAACAATTAGTTATGGCCTAGGGTCTTAGATATGAAGGTCATTTCAACATTTAATTTGACTAATTACTTCAGTTTCATCAAATTAATTTACCTTAGACATGCTTTCTATTACTATTAATAGTGGCATTGTAGAACTCCCGCCTCTAAATTAGAAATGAGTATCCAACAAAAAAATTGTCAATGGCAATTGGCACCCGGTGCTAGATCACAGACTGCCCATATCAGACAACCATGTTCAGACTTACCCTTTTCTTGTTGCGTCAACTGAAAAGAAATTGCAGCCCATAGCCAATAATAATACCATTAAAAGACTTTGCAACTTGCCCAAGTAGCCAAATTGTTTATTTTACTTATATGGGTATTATTTAGATGTATGTATGTTTAGTGGAAAAAGACTTAAGGCCTTACCTAACACAAAACCAAACAAATAAAAACAGTAGAAATCATGGACTTAGAAGATTGCATGTGAAAACTATCCAAAGAAACTAAAAGAAAAAGGCATGGAAAGGTTGTGGTAACCGCTAGGAGTTTCACTAGGACCTCTCTTTCAAACTTGTAATTTTTTTTTGCTCTCAATTGCTTCCTCCGATATGTTGGGCCACGAGAAAACGACGTGCTCCCCACCTGCCCACGCGCACGCGACCCGACGAAACCCTAATTTCCAAGGACCCCTCTATATAATATATTATTCAAGGGAGTAAATGAGGAAAATAATAAGGAAAATGGGTAGTAATAAAATAATATTGATAATTAATATATTATTAATATAGTAATTAGAATACACACCCACCAAATAACTTCCCAAATCAAAACACAATACACAGTTTCAACCTAGAAAGAAAAAAAAGAACATTTGATCCAATCGTGTTTTAAGTTTTTTGTATAATTTTCTTTATTGTTCTTTTAGATACTGCAAAATTTATCTCTCACTGCTTTAGTTTATTCGTTTTCTTTCCTTTCTCTCTTTCTTTCTTTCTCTCATTTCTTTCTCAGTCCTTGATGCTATGAAGGATTCTTTGTTGATGTTCTTGACTCATCTTCATCAGAGATTAATTAGTTTTCTTTTGTTTCCTTCTCTCTTTACTTGATTCCCAGTTCGGAATTGCATCTAATTCTCTCTTTCCTACAACTTCTCATATCCCTTGTCTTATCACCTCTCCTACAAGGCTACAACTTTTTTTTTTTTCTCATCAAAATTTATGTAGATCAGTCTGGCAAGGTAACGAGTAGAAAAAACCCTGTTGAGGCAACTATAGAAAACCTTCTTTTTTTTTTTGTTTTTTCTGTTGACTTCTTTCTTTAATTTAACTCTTTGATCATCTCAAAACCCTTTAGTTAAGTTGTTAGAAGAAAGTAAAAAGGTCGACCCAATTCTGGTTTTTTGCTCTTCTGTTTAGTGACTTGTGTGTTGAATTCAATTTGCAATCCTGGCGAATCCTTGGTGGGCTAATCAGGTGAGTCTACCGGTACCGGGCATGGACCCGGCAGGCAATTCACCAGCCTTAAACAAACGTGACCTTGAAATTTCCATGAACGATACGGGCAAAAACAGAAGCAACGTCAGAGGGGATGATGATGACGATAGAGACACTGGCGATGAGCCTAAAGAAGGGGCAGTCGAGGTCGGTAGCCGAAGACCCAGAGGCCGTCCTCCAGGCTCCAAAAACAAGTCTAAACCACCCATTTTTGTCACCAGGGACAGCCCAAACGCCCTCCGTAGTCATGTCATGGAAGTTGCAAGTGGCACAGATGTAGCTGAAAGCATAGCCCAATTCGCTAGGAAACGACAACGTGGGGTTTGTGTGCTTAGTGGCAGTGGCTCCGTAGCCAACGTTACACTAAGACAACCAGCAGCACCTGGAGCTGTTGTTGCTCTTCATGGAAGGTTCGAAATTCTGTCTTTGACTGGGGCTTTTCTGCCTGGACCAGCTCCACCAGGCTCAACAGGGCTCACTGTGTACCTAGCTGGTGGTCAAGGACAAGTTGTTGGAGGAAGTGTGGTGGGTTCACTGATCGCTGCAGGGCCTGTTATGGTCATTGCAGCAACATTTTCCAACGCAACTTATGAACGATTGCCTATAGAAGAAGAAGAGGAAGCTGGCAGTGCTGGCCATGGAGGACAGATCCAAGGAGGAGCAAGCCATTCTCCACCAGCAATCGGAAGTAGCGGCCCACAGATAGGTCTGCCTGATCCATCTTCCCTTCCAATATACAATTTGCCTCCTAATCTACTCTCCAATGGAGGGCAACTAGGGCATGAGGCCTATGCCTGGGCACATGGGCGACCGCCTTACTAATAAATGGAGAGCAACTCCATATATAAGAGAGTGAGACTTAATTTTCTTAGATCTTACAAAAATGTTGTGTTTGTATTTAGAGATAGAGAGATTGGAAGAAAATAGCAAAAAGAGGGGAATGTGCAACAAGAGAAAAACCTTGGGTGATCTTGTATATTAAACTCCCTCCTTTTTTTTTCCTTTGCCCCTTTTTCTGTTTGCAATAATAAAAGATGATTTTAGAGAGTACTATTTTAAAATTTTTCCCCCATATCCTCCAATTTCAATTATTGACCTATGAATTGTTCATCTGAACTCTTTTTTTCTTTTACATATTTTTCTTGGTTGGGATTACTTATTTTAATTTGTTTGTTTTTCATTTGATGCTGAGTACACTTTAATTTCTTTGATTATGCATGATGGATTAGACAGATATAATATATAGCTATTATTTACATTGCTGCAGGGAAAAAAGGTTATATTGTTATTATAAATTAGATTAATGTTTTGCTAATAACAACATTAATCTTTTAATCCCTACTTTATGACTTGGTTAATAATCCCACTTGTGCACAGACGAGGAACTGCTTTGAACTGCTGTGTCCTAAATTTCATGTCATGTTTTTGTGTTTGATTTTGTAGGTTGGCAGAGAAGGAGCACTTACATATATGCATACATACATACATATGTATGTAATGTTTGTCTGTATCTGTATATCTTTCACACAAGTTGTAGTAAAATAAAAAGCAACATCAAATGATTATTTTATGCTCTATCACCACAATGCAAAGGATATCAATAAGAGAGCACTGGGTATTCTGCAGAAAAAACATATAAGATAATATATATTATACATAAACTTTTTTGTCACGTGGTCTAGGTTTTCGTTTGGGTGGAATTTAGAATTATTTTTTAATGTTAAAGAGCAGTATAGTTTTTTCTATTTTCCCTATAAAACAATTGTAGTTTCTTTTTTAAATAATATTTTTTAAATTAGTGCAACTTTATTTAAAAGGTATGCTGCAATTGGAGACACATTAATAATGTTATACACTCTTAGTTGGAGTGATCAAATTCAATATCTGTCTACTTTAAATAATAATAAAAAAAACCCTAAAATTATAGAAGGAAAAACACACCTTTTTGTAAAACTTTTTTAAGTTTTATGTCATTTTATTTGATCTTTTATTGTTTATGGATGTTAGAAATTAATGAAACTTTTAAATAAAAGAAAAAGGCCCTGCCATTCTTCAAACTTCAAAGTGCATTGACAATATTTTATATAGTGATATCAAAATCATCTATATGATGCCTTGTCCTTCATCCAATTTAATTATTTAGTCTTTTGTTATATATACAATGATTGTGTCACATATCCCATTCAAATTCACCAAATTTTATTAATAGTCTGTTAATTAAATTATTGTCCAAACTGAATTAAGAAACAAACTATTTGTACATAAACTAAGTGTTAAACTATAAAATTCAACATTATCATATGCATTACAAAATATATTCATATAAGACTTATTCCTTCCCAGCTTCAGTCATGTCCATGTCTTATTCTAACAATTCTGAGCAAATCAGCTTATTTTATTTCTGGCATTTTGGGCTATAGATATTGTTGATAATTTAAAATGTGGTGTATCTCCTATTAGATAGAAAGATTTAATTATTGGTAAATAAATTTAATTTTTGTATTAATTATATTTATATTTTAAATAATTATATTTGAAAATAACCTATTATTATATGACAAATGGTCATAACTATTTGAATATAAATAGATAATTATTCATAAGTCATGATTGTACAAATGGTTATAAGGATTTAAATAGAAATTTATGTTTGTTCATTTATTATAAATAGATCTTTTAGTATAACCATTTTCACTACTTTTGATTGGAGAGTTTGATACTTTATTGTATTCTAGAGGTATAATTGCTTTTAAGAAAGTGTTTTTTATGCCTCCAAGCCAAAATTCTTTTCTATTATTTCTTCTCTTATTTATTTTTTCTAACAATTAAAGGTAATTATGTCAAATTCATATTTTGCATGAAGAACATACAAAGAAAAGAAATTAGCAAAATTGACTTTTGAAATATGATTGAAAAGTCTTAAATATTCAAATGATTTATTGGTGAAACAAATACTAAAAATTAGATAAGTTTCTTGTTTCTATCTTTCTAATTTTATATTCTATTAAACGAATTTATGTTATGAATTCATAAGAGATTTTGAGTCTTGTTGAATTTTGTTTTTATATTGACTATATATATATTTTTAATTTTTTGATTCTAAATTAAATTATTTAATTTATAATTAATGATTTTATGGTATGTTTGTGGATTTTCTTGATCATGGCATTAAATGGTCATAAACCTCAAATGGGCATGGAGTACTTTCTAGCTTTAGTTATGAATCTTTAATAGCCTTATTATATTTTATTAAGACCATGGTTATCAAATCAAAATGATAAAATTCTCAAGAGTTATTTAAGACATAAAAGAAATTGTGATTTATAATTTTTTTTGTTAAAAAAAGAAGCAAGTAAATGTGTTTTTATCATAAAATTATATTTTATGGTCTATATTCAATGATTGCATTTTATTGGCAAGATAAAAATGTATAATTCATATTATTTAATTTGTATAATATTGTTTCAATAAGAAATAAGCATATTATCTAAGATAACTTCAATCCAATTGGATAAGTTATATAATTCTTTGCAACTAGTTAAAATACTTTCTATTTGTTTGGTGGAAAGTTTAATGTATTTGATAATTTGGAAACCAACTTTATATATAGTATTATGTTGTTATATGTGAAATTATGGTTATTTTTAATGAAATGAACTATGGTGGATATGGAATTAGTGTCCATGACAAAATAATTTTTTAAGTATCCATAAATTGATATGAAAGTTTCAAAAGGAGACTATAGAAAGCATAAGTTTAATAAAAGAAAATAATTTTGAGGGTGATTATATTTGAATATCATATTTATTGTTGTAAACTCTTATATTGAGTTAAAATATAAAAGTTTTGAAACTTTTATGAAAAAAAAAAGATATAGAATATTTGTTAATTATATTTTAGTAAGGGGAGGTTTTTTATTATTAAAAAAACCATCAAATAGTGAAAAGATAAATGTGCAGACACCTCTTTTGTTCAAAACAAAAAAATGAAATTAAAAAAATAGAAAAGAAATCAAGCTACTAAGAAGGTTTTTTTTTCTTCCCAAAGCCAAAGCATTGCATATGCCTAACTTGGAAGAAAAAATCAGGCCATCAATGACTATGAAAATTATCAAACATTTGAAAATCTGGGATTCAAATCCCAAAATATTTGGGATTTGAATCTTAGAAAGTTTTATATATACTACACTTTTCCTGCAAGCAAATGGGGGAAGAATAAAAAAAAAAAAAACTAAAGGAGCACTACTAGAAAAAAAGGAACGCAAAGAATAAAAATTTTTTTTTGGGTTACTGGGTTGTAACCATTCACACACATAAGCACAAAAAAAAAATATCATCATAGTTCTCTTTAAGTAAGAGGAACCAACAATAAAGTAAAAAAAAAAAAAATTCTAAAAACAAAAATAAAATTTTTTGATTTGGGCATTTAATTTTTTTTTTTTAGTAAAACTGCTTTTGGGCATTTAATTTTTTTTTTTAGTAAAACTGCTTTACAAAATATGTTTAGGAAATCAAAAAGATTGTTTTAAGAATTTTGAGAAAATTTTTGAAAATTTTTTTAGGTCACCAAAATCTAGAAACTATGAGTTTTCTAGCAACCAAAATGTGGGAAATAGACTAAAATTTGGGATCTTTTTGAACTTTTTTAGCATCGGTTAAAGTTTCTGGCAATGGCACGGTGGCTACCAGCCCAAAACTGAGACTAGCGACGATCGGCAAAGGAACAAAATTTTATAGAAAGAGGGTCTGGTTTTTAGAGAGAAAAAGGAAAGCGAAAAAATAAAAAAAAATAGCCTTTTATAGGCTGAGTGAAATGGTGCCATTTCGGGAGCCCGACTTGTGCCAGGATCCATACGCGACATGCTAGAGATGCAACCCATTTGGTCAGTATTCCATTTTCTTTTTCTTTTTTATTTTATTTATTTATTTATTATTTTTTTATGATATTATTATTATTATTATCACTATTATTATTATTATTATCATCATCATCATCATCATAATTAATATTGTTGTTATTGTTATTATTATTTTATGTTATTTTTTTAGAAATAAGTAAAAATAAAAAATAGAATTAAAATAAAATATGGACTTAATAAAAAATAATAATATTATTACTAATAATTATTTAATGAAATTGATATTTTGTTGCTTAAATTTCACCAAAGCGTTGGGATGATTTAAGAAATAAGTTTTGCTAAAAAAAGTAATAATAATGAAATAAAAAATATGAAAACTAATCAATTGTTTAAGTTAATTTTTAAAGAAAATTGAAAGAGTTTGATTTTCTTTAATTATTACAAGTAAAAATATTTTTTGAATTTCACCATAGAGTTGGGATAATCTTAAAATTATTTTTACTAGAATAAAAATTCATTTGAACAATATAAAAATAATAAATAATAAATAAAAATGTTTCTTTAAATAAATCTCTTAATTATTACAAAAAGTATTTTTTGGATTTCACCAAAGAGCTAGGATAATCTAAACAAAAAACAAAAAAATATTTATTTTACTAAATAAATTATTCATTTAAATAATAAAAAAGATAAAAATAATAAATAGTAAATAATAACAAAAAATTAAAATAATCACAATAAATAATAAATAAATAATTAATTAAATCTATTAATTATCATCAATAAAAAATAGTTTTATTTAAAATCTCGTCAAAAAGTTAGGATTATCCTAAAATCTGTTTAAAATTTTTAAGATTCCGTCGAAGAGTCGGAATAATCCTAAAATCTGTTTAATAGATTTTGAGATCTCATGAAAAAGTCAAGATGTTCTTAAAATCATTTTTAATAAATAAATAAAATATTTTATGACAAAATTCGAGAATTTTATAAATGGTCAAAATTTTCAAAATATTTTTTAAATAAAGATTTTCTATAAATTTCATCAAAGTATTAGAGAATTTATAGAACACAAAATAATAATAACCATAATAATTTTGATTTCATAACAAAAAATGTTTTTCATAAATAAATTTCAAAAAATTAAATTTAAATATAAAAAAGACCATATCATCAAAATTAAAAGA